GGATTCTGGACTGGATTCACATGGCCGGCTAAAAACATCAATATTCTATGGAGAAAACACAAATCGGTGGGTGTCGGAGGCAGAAAAGATTTTCTCCAGAAATCACTTATCGGAGGCGGAGAAAATAGAGGCTGTCATAGTGTGTCTTGGAGGCAAAGCATGGGATTGGTTCCAATGGCTAGGTTGTCATCGACTCATGCAAACATGGGAAGAATTGAAAGAGCGAATGATAATCAGATTCTGGCCATCCATGGGAGAGAACTCACCGGAGCATACCTTTGCTTATGAAATACTGCCTAAGTCGGATGAGGCGGCCGCAGAAATTGATGGACAGGAAAGAGAGAGGAGGGAAAACGAGATGATAGAGAACTCACCTAGGCCGGCGATTTCTAAAGCCCCTTCGCCGGTGAATCTGACTCATAACACTGGGAAACCAGAAATCTCACCCAAAACCAACAAAGTAGAAGAAAGTGCAGTTGGTCAAGGCCGCTGGGAGGAAACCATCGTTAGAGCAAATCAGAAACTAATTGAAATCCTACCATCAGCATTGCCGAAGGAGAAGAGATCGGAGATGGAAAGGATCTCTACAATTCAGCTGAATCTGGAGAGGAGGAACGAATGGAAATTATTGGATTGGATGGATTTGGACTTTGGCTGGGAAGTGGGCCAGCAGGAAGAAGACCAAAATGAGTATTTAAAATAGGCCCAGTTATGTTTCAGCCCATCCAGAATCAAAACTAACTCCAGCAGCCCACTTATTAGCTACAGCCCACATATTTTCCTCGGGCTAAAATCAAACACCTGCGCTGAATCTCTCTTTTATGGACTAGCGGGTTAGGCTTTATCATGAAGATGACCCAAGTTATTGAAGAAAAAATCAAGTGGGTATGGNNGCCCAAGACTCAAGTGGACACAAATACACCATGCTAGCTACTCTTCAAAATCAGTGGGCTTCAAAGGGGACACAAATCTTCCCTACCAAAATTGTGACAGTGGAAGAGCAGGCAATTGGCAACACCAACACTTCCTTGACTCCCACCTTGAGGACAAGGTGGATTTGGAAACCGGAGGTATTGATAAACTAACTCCAACATCCCACTTATTAGCTACAGCCCACGTATTTTCCTCGGGCTAAAATCAAACACCTGCGCTGAATCTCTCTTTTATGG